ACCAATTTCGAATTGACTGATCTGAGACAGTTAAAAAACTGGATCAAAAAGGAATATTACTAAGTATAAAAAAAATGTTGAATATTCAAAATAAATGATGCATTCAAAAAAACGAGCAAGAAAACCACTTCAGTTTCCGTTTGGAGCAGTTTATCTCGAAAACAGTTCAAAATAGAAATAGTATCATCTGAACAAAGTTAATCTGAAATTGGATATAGAGCTCAAAAATGTTGAAATATACAGGGTGTTCCATTTGAAAAAGTTGAGTTCCACTAATTTTTTCATGAGATCAAAGTATCTGCATTTTTCGAAGACCCTGTATGAGGCAAATGGAAATATGACTTGGAGTGAAGATCCTTATAGTATCAATCCACTCCATTTCAAATTCAACGTTCATTTCAACGTTCTCTTCAAATGGAACGGTAAGTTCTCAAAATTGCCGATGGTGGGCCCAAGAAAATCCCAATTTCACAGTTGAATGTGGTGATCTAATCGCCACTCTCGCACAACACTGCTTTTAGAGCGAAATAAGGATTTTCCTTTTCCAGTAGTTATTGTGTTTTGTCTTCAAAACGAAAAGATTTTTTTCTCAGGTAACCGATCTTGTTTTGTATTGTAGACAAATTTCTTCGCAGTTGATGAATAACTTGGAAAGTAGATTTGACTTGTTACGAAGTAGTTCGAAGAAAAATATTTCATATCTCTTCATAACAAAAATCAGAACCTTTCGAGTGCTATTTAATAGTTTGTGACAGTTTACGACACTCTAAAGTTTTCTCGAGTGACACATAAACTGTGAAAAGTTAAAAAGTTCGATAAAAAGTCGTAATGTTGAATGGAAAGGAAGCACATTATTATTCCTTGGATGCAAACTACTTTGGAGACGCAGTCGGCTGAAATCAGCATCATAGTGAGATGCAAAAACCGGCATGACTATACAGGGTATGACATAATAAGTACATAATCAGGAGAGGAATCACCTTTTATGTAAAAGGTGAATAACTGAGATGAGATAATGATTATTCAGGGTGTTCCTTAAACACATGCTAATATTTAAGGAGGTAATTCTTAGACCCATTTTGAGAAAAAAACTTCCTATGGACGTATGTCCTAAACACTTTAACTTTTGAGATACAGGGTGGCAAAGTTTTCAAAAATAATCAGTTTTTCAATAATAACTGAGATAATTTTGTAGACATTTCTGGCATATTTGGTACATATGTTCCATGCCTCAAGGCGCATTTTCTGATGTACACAAATTTGTATTTTTTCAAACAGTGGCATCCCTACGGGTTTCGCATTGAATATTTTTGGGGAAAAAGTACTACGCCAATGC